GAATAATGTTCAAGTCAGCTTTGAATCATCGGGGCTGCTGCATAAATAAAGAAGTATGTCAGTAAACCAAAGGATGCCAAGGCCAGAAATAGAAGTGGAGACTCTGGATCGCTGCTGTATCTGCATCTCCAAATGACTAAGATATTATTACACCACCCAGCTCAGCCTGCTTATTATTCATGGCTCCACAAGAACATCCAAATTAAGACCAGTCAAGGTTATATTAATGTGTCTGCAATAACATCCTGATGAAACGAAATATTTTGTAAGAAATTTATTCAAAGTATTTGCAGGGTGTTTATAACTTTACCAAAATATCAATACATAATTTCTGGTTTGCCTTGGAAAAGTATTTGAGTATCATGCACAGAGTATAATGTAATGTTGACATGTACAGTAGCATGCAACATAAAAGGTTTTTTTTAGATATAATACAAGAAAATAGAATCATATATGAAGATAAAAACAAAAAACATTGAAAAACAATAATTCAGGCTCAGACTTGTACATTTTAAAATGAAGCCAACCAAGATTCATGTCCAAGATCAAATATAAAATACAGTATGAATCAATAATAATGAAAAAAAAGTAAAGGTTCAAAGAAAAGGTTGTTTAAAAGAATGTTTCCATCCATTACTGATGCACTCTTTGTAAGATTATAAAGGGTGAAAAAAAGTCAAACAGTTTTTTGAACCTAAATTGTTCAGTGGTGTTTGTCAAAGGCTACTTGGAATACGAGGATTTCAATATGTAGGGTAAAAAACTAATATTTTCTTACAGTGTAAATAAAATGTTGAACTTGTTGAAATTCTGATGTTTTAATGTTAGAGGAAAGAATAACCTTAGAACGGTTGACATCACCCATTGGTTTTAGTCCCACTATAAAGCTTCAAGATGAGCAATTTTGCCAATTTTCTCCTGATATTTTGAAACTGGGCGTCACGAACAAGGAGCAGATCTGACGAGAACCTCAGGGGACAAAGCCCAATTTCAACTATACACTTCAATAACCAGTTTTACAATCATTAGAGCCTCCCTCCACACACCCTTCACATTTAGCTTTGACATGCAGCCTGCAGAGATCCAGAAGGGGAACCTTTAAATAAGAACCGATATCAAACTCACAGATCAGGATATTGTGAAGTCAGGTGACCACCAAAGGCATTGGGCCGAAGATGATTCCTTTAACTTGAAGGTATGCCACAAGGAATCGAAAATAACTGTAATTTAAAAGTACTTGATGTACTTCAGTTTGGATCACATAATACAAGATTAATTGCTAAATGACTTCATTATATCAGGGAAATATTGTTACAAAGAATGGTATATTGAAGAAATAGAACCCATACGACACTGGTGAACATTTATTGGCCTGCAGGTATTTTCGGTGTGGTTGTATTTTTGATGTTTGTGCGATTCAGGTCATTATGAATGTTAATAAACTGGTGATGGAGGGGATACATTCTCAAAGACATCTTCTGCATGACTAGTTTTCTCTTCATCATCATCTTCTTCCCTGTGATTGTCTACAAACATACAGGCCTCTTTTGGACATCTGTAATAGTCACTGGGATCTGTTTCCTTAAAATCACAGTCGTCATCATTCACTGGCTCCTCATAGTCATCGCTCCAGTCTCCATCCTCTCCTGCAGCTTCACCTTTTATTTTTTGATGCAGATCAACATTCACATAGACCTCCTCATCGCCCTCATTGTCTGCCCACGTGTAGTCATTCCCAACTTGGACAACCACTGAAACACACGTAAAGGAAAACAACGTGAATATATAGTTAAACTTGTAATCATTTAAAATCGTGTCTCTTGGTGAGTACACACTTTGAGTTTGGATGAGAGCTACAGGCTGCTTGAGTTGTCGTCTTCTTCTGAGGATCAGCAACACCGCTAAGAGCAGCAGCAGGAGCAGCAGCAGGATTACAACAGATACAGAGGACACCAGCGGCATCAAAGACACTAGGAGGACAGCATTTGTCTATTAGAACACATTCTGTCCCACTGAAATGAACTGCTTCTCATTTAGGTTGTTAATGCAGAGCAGGGATGTCAAACCCATTTTACAGCGGGGGCCAAATACAGCCTACACCCATCTTAAGTGGGTTGAAACAATGAAACTCCATCAGTGTACAAAAGTTATAGCAGATTTAATCCCTGCAATATTTCAATATAAGAAAAAGAAGTGCAAGTTCAACAATATGTCTCAGTTTTTCTGTAGTATACAATGACAAAACAAACTTTTTTATTTAATTGTTTAGCTGTTACTTAATTACTTTGATGTAGTAATGAATGACTGTGGGTGAGATCTTTGTCAGTAGGACAAGCTAAAAAGTCTATGAAAATTCAGATAAAGTCTAAAATTTATGCCAGATTGGAGTCTTTCCCAGGTCGATTTGTTTGACGTCTCTGGTCCAGAGCATGTATAAGCAAATACACAAATATCCTAGCAAAGGATTGCTTTGCTAGGATATATTATCAGTTGTGTTTGTTCCTGTTTCTGTTCAGTTTTGTTTCTATATCGGAACTGCCTTCTGACTTATACCTGCTTCTCCTTTTCTTTCTTTTTAAATGCATAAAAATTTAGAAATTAGCAGAATGAGAGACATCTGAGGGAAAAATACTGCCCAGTAGAATTGCCAGTGATATTTATGATTCTTCTTTCTTAGTAAAAAATAAAAATACATATTTAACAGTGTACTTACATTTAATGATGACAGTAATCGGTGCAGTTTCAGCAGATCTGAATGTCCGTGTGGACACTGTGACCTCGTACACACAGCTGTAGTTGCCCTGATGTTCATACTCAGCTACAGGGAAACTAAAGGAGGCTGAGTTGTTGACTGCTGGCTCTGTGAGGTTGGAGCCAGAGAAGCTGAGAATAAAATGTCCACTGGAAAATGTGGAGTTAATGGAACAGGTGAGGATGAAGCTGTAACCCCTGGTGATCTGTGCACCTTCAGGACCCCAGACAAGTCCTGCATTAGGAGACGTCAAGGAGATGCTGGGCCTCTGCAGTCTCACTGTGTGAAAACAGATTGAGATTAAGATCATATGATGATTGTATGATACAGGACATGTAGTTAAGACCAGAGTCTAACCAATAGTTTGTAAGGTGGGTTTAGGAATAAAAGATACACTGGACAGCTGGAGCCACAGGGTAGCTTTGCCTCATTATACTAAGACTAGTAAGGTGATCACAAGGCAATAGTGAGTTTTTCAAAGAGCTTCACAAATATCAAGTATCCCTCATGATACACTGACACTGCAAGGAAACCAGGAGGAACCACAAACATGCAAACTCCACAAAGAAAGGGTGTGCTAGATGTTGGGGTCAAACTCAGGACCTTCCCACTGTGAGGCAATAGTGCTAACCACTGCACCACTATCCTCACTTTAGAGAAGGCCACACGAAATACTTAAAATACACACAAAACTAACAACTAGCAACTACCTTAATTTACAATAAAAAAATAACCACAATTAATACACTCACAAAAATCTTAATTATATATATACATATATATGTATATATTTGTGTGTGTGTGTCTCTAAATAATAATAATACTTAGAATTTCTGAATTAATCATGAATAAAAATTTAAATCTGTATTTATAAGTTACATACTAATGAGGAGTAGTGCTTTATAAATGATGAGTTAAGCACTTACTAATAGTGTGACATTATTTTCAAGTGTTACTGTTTTTTGTGACCTGGTGAATGAAATTCCACCATTGGCTCTTTTAGGCCCCAACTTAACATTTAGCTCTTTTTAGCTGCTAAATGCTCCACAGTGTGTAATAGTTTGTTTCCAGTAGTCTGTGTTTAGTCCTCAGTACTGTGGGCTTTGAGAGTATTTTGTCAGGCAGTCAGAAACTTTATAAAACAGCAGCTGCTGTTATAAATACTAGAAAGAACTACTGCAGTATCTTCTTATATACATTGCTATTAATTATTGACTATCATACATACTACATACTATCATTGGTTTTCTTACCTGTAACAGAGAGCCTAACAGAGTCACTTGTTGGGGAGTAAAATTCATGACTTGGTACGCTTTCCTGATACTGACACTGGTACGATCCCTCATCATCAAAGTCTACTTCAGGAATATTGAAGGTAGCAGAGTTTGTGTTTGAGTTTTGGGTCCTGTTGAATGAATCTGATGTTTTCATCAGAATGAACGTTCCACCTAAAGTTTGAGTTGAGAATGAACAAGTGATTCCAATGTTCTGACCCCAGGTCACCTCACCAGCAGGACTGATGGAGATATTGGGTTTGCTTACTGAAAAGAAAAAAACCAAACAATATTAAATGTATTGGTAGTTGGTTATTTATAGAAAACAAATGAAACATGGTGTTCAGGAAAGTGTATTTCTTCTTACCAGTAACAGAGATTCTGACAGAGTCACTGAGGGGGGAGCTGAATGTGTTACTTGAAATGCGTTTCTCATACTGACACTGGTACAGTCCCTTATCACTGAAGTCCACTCTGTGGATATTGAAGGTAGCAGATCTGGATCCTGTTTCAGTCTGACTGAAATTACTTGAGGTTTTCTTGAGGGTGAAAGTTCCATCTAAGAACTCAGATGAGACGGAACACGTGATGCTGATGTTCTGACCCCAGCTAACCTGTCCTTCATTTACAGAGATGCTGGGTTTTGGGAGACTTGCTGAAAAGTCCAAACAAAAAGAATAGTGTGAGTTTTAACAGATCACAAAGTCAAGATACACTGATGTCCTCAGCTAAACCCAATAACAATCCATATCACCTCATGGCTCAACTGATACCAGTTTACATATCCAACTACCAATTCTCTTTATAAATGGTAAATGGCCTGTATTTGTATATTGTTTACACGTCCAGTCATCCACACATTCACACACTGGTGATGGCAAGCTACATTGTAGCCACAGCCGCCCTGGGGCGCACTGACAGAGGCAAGGCTGCCGGACACTCACGCCACCAGTAGGCAATGGGTGAAGTCTCTTGCCCAAGGACACAACAACCGAAACTGTCAAAGCTGGGGCTCAAACTGGCAACCTTCCGATTACAAGGCGAACTCCCAACTCATCAATCATCAATCAATATCATGCCTGCTGGCATTGTAGGCCGTTCTGTTTTGTTCTACAATGGGCTGATATTGCTGCTTTCACCACAACTAGTTTTAAAAACATGCAGGGAAGGTCTCAATTGCTGGAATTGAGCCCAATTAACAAAACACTGCAGGATTACATAACAGTTATTCTTTTGAGTGTCCCTGACAGAAATTAGGTCTAGATGCTAAATTTACAGTCGAAGCTTTGACCTAACTCAAACATCTTGCTTTGAAACTTCACAAACTTCAGTGAATGAAATGAGAAAATCACCATGATCAATGACAGAATTTGCACCAGGAATCAAATATATATATATATATATATATATATATATATATATACATATACACATGTAAATGTTAACTGCAAAAAGTCACTAATGATTACACAGTCTTTAAAATAATTTGGAGATGGTGTTTTTTTTCTAGTGGGGCAGCAGAAGGATTAACTGTATTAAAACAGCAGCAGCAAGGACACTAAAACAGAATGAACATGTTCCATTTTTCCTTAAAAAATGTCTGACCATCAGTGTGATGGATTTCTACTTATTTAGTTTGTCAGTCTAGAATATGTAGTTTTCACCCAAATCAGCTTTAGTTCCTCTTTTGCAAAAAACCCTTCAGTCTCTCTTACCACCAAAAATCTGCAGCACTGATGAACTTTGACTTAGAATATTTGGCATTGTTGCTACACACACACACACACACACACACACACACACATATTTATATATATTCGATATATATATTCTGATAAACAAAGAAAGGTAAAGGGCAGCTTATGACACCATAGAGTATAAATTTGTTAGAGCTGCTTGTTTTCATCGTCCATATTGACAAGATTTGAAATCCACTCTGTTCATGTTTTAACTTCTGTTATATTATCTTAAGGAAAATGCAGAGCACACAAAGAGGCATGCATGCATGTATTAAAAATAAAAAGAGGGAAATAAAAATGCAAAATACAAAATTAAGGCAAGGGGGAAATGAGAGGTGAGCAGGAAGAAAAATCTAAAATCTGAAAAAATGTTAAGACATAAACATAAGTGACAGCCTCAGCAATCTTACTCCAAAAGGTCACAGACGTTAATAAGCAGCCCACTCTTCTACTTCTTCTTCTTCTCATCATCATTATTATCATTATTATTATTATTAACTATTAGATATATTTTGCTTTGAAGAGATGCAGGGCAGTTAACACTGATCCCAATATAATCAGTTAGGATTACCAATTAACTCAATATATATGTCTTTGGGAGGAAGCCAGAGTAGCAAGAAACAGCCCACACTATCACTGGAAGAACATGTAAGCTGTGCAGCATCAAAGTGACACTTTCAAGTAGTAATCACATATTGACATGTCAAGTTTTTCTCTACAAAAAAGGATGTAAAAAACAAGTATGTGAAACCCCATTATAATGAGATCTCCAAATGCTAACCTTAGCCGAGCCTTAGCGAATTCACAAATCAAAACTGAAGGAGTGAGGCTGTACTACGCTGATCTATCAAATAAAATTAATCTTGAGTTTATCACCTACAAGAAGCATCTGAAATCTCAGACATACCATCATGAGTTAGCATGAAGCTGGAAAAGTAACCTGATAGATGTTAGACATTCATCTGCTATAATAACTGTCTTTAAATAAAGGGATGTCAACATTATACTAATTAGAGGAAAGTTAAAAGACTAAAAATAAAGCACAAGTAAAGAACAACTGCATGTCAGTTCATGTGTAAAGATTGAATTAATTGAAGGAGTTTGTCCAGCGGAAAATCTGCACAAGTGAACATCAACACAAATCTATAGAAGGAACTGAAACCAAGTGTGCACAAATGAGGGCCAGACTAACTAACATGCTGATGGATGACCTGATGAGCTCTCCTGATGATGACCACTTGACTGCTCCAGCTCCACCAGATTATGGTGGAGCTGTGAAGAAGACTTGTGTAAAATCTGTTGCTATGTGAACGTACTTATTTTTAAGCTTTACTCAAGAGTGCATTTATTTTCCATAAACACTAAAAATGTTTAATAAGTAATAGAAAAGAAAACAAATATTATAATTGCAGTGTTTCTGCTCACCTGAACAGACGACACCAGCATCTTCACCATGGTTACAGTCGTGTGTCCCGAATCCTCTGTGCTGACACTCAGTTAGAGAACTTTCACTCCCTGAACAGGCCACATCGTCAAGCAAGATCTGTCCACTTCCTTGACCAAAAAGGGCAGATGAAGTGGCACTCAGGGCTGTACCACAGTCTAAGGATCTGCAGACCACTTCAGCATCTTTTAAGTCCCAGCCATCATCACAGACTGTTCCCCACACACTGCTGTGGTAGATTTCTACTCTTCCAGAGCACCAAGTGGACCCAGACCCGGATAATCTGATATGAGCACCTAGTCACAGGTACATTTGCTTAAAGAGTGTTAGTGTTTCTTTTTTTGTTATATGGTCATGGCAAAACTCAAACACATTTACCAACAATAATAATTATGAAAGATAACATACTTTGTATCATTTAATTTCTGAAGAAACCAAAAGAAACCTAATCAACATAACTCAGCCCAACTTTCCTTCTTGCCATTCAGTTTAGCTCAGTTATAGTGACTGGGTCACAGAGTTGTTCATCTAAACAGAGAAAGATACATTTATTCAGCACAATTTATCAGAACATTATCTTACCCAAACAGACAACGCCAGCGTCTTCGCCATGTCCACAGTTGTGTGTCCCAAATCCACTGTGTCCACACTCAGTTATAGAGCTTTCAGTTCCTGAGCAGGCCACATTATCAAGCCAGATTTTCCCACTTCCTGGACCAAAGTCAGCAGATGAAGTGACCTTCACCGCTTTCCGACAGCCCAGCTGTCTACAGACCACGTTGGCATCATTTATGTCCCAGTCATCATCACAGACTGTTCCCCAGGAGCCACTGTGATAGACTTCAACTCTTCCAGAGCACTGAGTGGACCCAGACCCAGCTAGTCTGATCTGACCTATCAGCACATAATATAAACTATATATAATATTGTCCTTTAAAAATATAAAAATTTTATATTTAAGCATGTATGTATAACACATGAGAAGACACTGACCTGCTGCAGGTGCGAGAAAGGAAAAGATGCAAGAAACTACTGAAGAAGAAAACGTCAAATTACACAGGACAAAGGTTGGCAAAAAAAAAAAATAAAGCAAATATAATGATGAATGTTTGCATTGAAAACTGAGACTTAACGACTGTCTCATGCTATCTCCGTACAACATAAAGAAATGTTTATACATTATGGAAATTACTGCTTACCAAGCATCAGAAAGTGAAGAACATTCTGCTGCGTGCCTGCCATGACTGACCACAAAAAGCTGCTTCATGTCATTTATGAGAGCCAGGCAACAGTAAAACGAACGAACTTCCCCTTCAGATTTCCGGTGGGTTTTTTGTGGATTGCTGAATACCATTTGCAAACATAATCCTAATTTCTAATGTAGTCTCTTAGTTGTTGTAAATTATCACAGTTTGAATAGGACTGGAAAGAAATTTGCAACAGGCCTTCATGAGAACAGACACCGTCTCCATCTAGTGGTCACACTGTAGTATTAACCTAGATTACAAGTTACCTCGATCGCTTTGATTTTCCTCACACCAGACTGTGTTTTCTGAAATGTGTAATGTACAGTTCAGCAGGGGTAGAGCTTTTGTTTACTGCCGGTGTCGTGCCAAGGTTGGTATCCCCGACAGAATTTGTTTCCCCTGCGTGGCAAGCACGCAATGGGAAGAATTTCCAAATCACTGACAAACAGTATCACTCATTCTTGATTTTTAGTTCAGATGCACTTATTATTAGGGATGCAACGATACCAATTTTTTCAAACCGATACGATACTGATACTTGGATCTGAGTACTTGCCGATACCGAGTACAAAAACCGATACTTCTACCACACACACACACACACACACAAATGCAATGAATTGGAAGACAGGTTTTATTTTATTCTCTGCCGATAAAAAATAAAATCTTAATAAAAATGACCACAAAAAAATTTCAAGTGAAAAATAAGCACTTCTGTTAAATTATTGCAGAGTCTCCACATTGTAATTTAACAAAATATCACTGAACTATTGGCACTGTCTCGAGCTTTCAGAATAATAAATAAACACTTCTGTTTGGAATAAAAAAACTACAAATTAGGTTTGAGAATAAAATAAACTTTTAAATTGTTGCAGAGTGTCCATAATGCAAACAAACAAACAAAATAACGAAAGTATTTGGCATTGACGAACGAACTCCCCATCTGCCCGTGGATCATCAGTCCACTGTGCCGTTAAACCAAGGACTGACATCGCGCACACACTGCTTGTCTTTACCTCTTTAGAAAGTTTTGGCACCATTATCTCCCTGATGTGTGGGCAGCTGGAAATTTCATATCGCAGCTCGAGTATGCTGAGAAGACGGCGCAATCCTATGTTTTCCACGACCGGCATTGGCTGGTCATCCAGAGCAATAAAATGAGTCAGAGCCTCTGTTATTTTATCTGCCCGTGGATTTTCTCTTGACATTTTTCATCGCTTTTCCAAAACCCGAGTTAAAGTTGGCTGTTCCGGTCCACACTGCTGACATTTTGTTTAGCCTAGCTACAGCAGCCTCCAGTTTCTCTTTTTTTATCTGGAGCCGCCAGTCTCACTCGTCTAACCAGTGTTGCCAACTCCTCAGTAAGGAAAATCGCTATTAGCTGTCCTAAAAGTCGCTAGAAGTCGCTAAATGACGTCATCACCTAATTTGCATAATTGGTCATGTTAATGTAATTGTAACCTACGCTGTTAGAAAGAGAAATAACATTGTGGAAGAGACATAAAGTGATTAAAAAACGTCCTAAATACATTTAGAATTTATTTAGAACTACAAATTAAATTTCTTTTAGCAATTATTTTTTTTTAATGTCACAATTCCAACCCTGCTCCTTTAACCGGGCTTCGACTGGCAAAAGTGACACAAAATAGGCACTCTGGTGGAGTTACTTTGTGTGTGTGTGTGTGTTTATAAGTAGTTTTAAACCTTGTGATCCACAAAACAGCATAACAGTAAAAGAAGAACTGCAGTCAGTGCGGGAGCAGCGGCTTCGCTCATGCACGGTTCATTTGCAGTTTGGACGCGTAGGTGTGAACATCTCCTGCAGCTGGGGGAGGACTATCCTCCGCCCGTTAGCGCTTTAGCACGGGTGAGGTGCCCACGGCAGCACCGCTGCTTGTTGAGAGTAAGAGCAACGTGCCCTTTCACGTCAAAAAGTCGTCATAAATAAGTCTCCAATAACACCAGAAAAAGTTGCCAGATTTGTCGCTAGTCGCTTTTTAGAAAAAAAAGTCACTAAGGGGGTCTGAAAACCCGCTAAATATAGCGACAAAGTCGCTAAGTTGGCAACACTGCGTCTAACCCTGTGCCTGTTTAGCGC